CCTGAGAGTAAAGAGGGGGTTTTAGTAAAGCTGATGAATGCGATTGTTTAGATTCGAAAAACATCACAAAAATGTTTTTCATTTATAGCAAAAGTATTGTACTGTAAAATAAACAAATTATATTTAAGCTACAAAAATAGTTTTTTACTTTAAAATAATTCACAATGCAAATTTAACAATTTGCAATACAAAATCAAGTTTACTAGTTTATTTAAAAGATGCAATAGAGTCAATAATCTAAAATTTTTGATGTAAACTCTAATATGATGTATTCGTTAAATAGTATTTAAACATTAAAAGCAATTTTAGAATAAATGAGAATGATTGCAATCAAATAAATGTTGATTCTTAAGTACGTCTTTTAATGTTGCTTTCTCCCAAAATTAATTTATTTTTAATTTTACTTTCTCAATTTCTCCAAAATTTCCATTTGTGAGAAAAAGTATTCATATTGAGGATGTTGTTGATTAGTTTTTTTATATATTAATTATTGCTCGGTGTAGTTAAGGCAATTTTAAAATATTATAGCGTCTGTATGATATTTTGTTGACTGCGACATATCGCGAGGTTAGAATTATTTTGTTCTATCTCCACATTTTTTTGTTTTGAGATAAAACGATTTAAAAAATAAAAACTTTAGGAGATGGCATATAAAAAGATGTTTTCTCCAAAACTTTTTTGACTTTAACTTCGGTTTTAACATAGTAGAAGAACATTATTTTGAAGTATATGACACAATCAATAACTCATTTTTTTCAAAAAGTGGAGATAGAACAAAATAATTCTAACCTCGCGATATTTCCATTAAATAATCAGGTCTACGAATTATGAAAAGACGAATAAAACAAAAATGATAAATTTTGCGGAATCAAAAAATAAAAATGTTTATAGCGAAAAAACCCAAACCGAAGATTCTTCTTTTTAAAATAAAAATTTTTAAATCACAATCGCTTGTTCAAATTTAAATAAGATTTTAAATAAATACGTTTATTAGGTAAAATGAACATCATGGTTTAATAATATGATCTGTTCTAATCGTTTATTGGCAATTTTTCTTTATTATAAGCTCTTTCTTGGTCGGAATTCTAGTATTTTTTGTGAAAATTGATAGAAATATTGATAGAAATATATAACAACTATGTTTAGTTAATATACGTCAGCACAGATTAGAGCTAGGATCTATAGTAAATTAAGGAACTTTTTCGAAAGATTTTAACTAAATTCATGCTTAGGCTGATGCGCGAAAGTAATCTTAAGACTGCAAACTAGTGTTTTTTAGATTCACTATTAGGGGTTGTAAAAGGTTTTGAAAATTATATAAAAAAAAAAGAAAAATTTCTTTAAATATTAAAAAAAACGAAGCAAAAAAAGTTATATCATCTAAAGCTTTTGTTTGGACACAATACGCTGATAAAACCATGCTGATTCTAAATAAAAAAATTCGAATAATTTGTAAATCGCCTTAACTACAACGATTGGTGCTGTTAAATTTGCTTTTGATTGTTATCGAAAAGTCTGAACTTTACAGTAAGCTGATTAAGTGCAAACCTCGTAAGCGTGATTCTACATAAGCATTGGACTACGCTGTGGCTGCTGATATTTTCTTATCATAAAAAAGTAATAACTGTTTACTGTCATAATGTAAGTTCTTATTTACGCTGGTTTGTACTTATTCAAGTAAAACTGCTTTAAACTCATAAAAATTTGTACTTATCCCAACAAACATGCCGGTGGCGTATTATCATCTGAAATGCCGCAACTGGCATTTAGAAAGCAGTCCATAGGTTGATTTTCCTACTAAATCCCAACAAAGGCTAGAGCACGTTGAACCGTTGTAGCTTTTTTACCGAATGCCGAATTCGGCAAAGCAGCATCTCGGTCCAACGTCTGTTTGCTCAGTAATAAAACTAGTCAGTATAATTATAACCTAAACAGTAATAAAGTTTAACTATTCTAGTTTTTTATCTGACAAAACATGTTTTCACTACGCTAACTCTAAACGGATTTTGAAAAACGTGGCACAGAATTTTAGCACAAAATTCGGATAATATATTTAAACATACAATAAGGTCAACCAAAAACTAAAAATTTATATAAAATTGGAATGGAAAAATTTAATTTAAATTTCAAAAGCTACCAATAACCAAAAATTTAATATAAAATTAATTTGTAAAATAGTCTACCATCAGAAATAGTGTGTTCAACATCTGTCACAATGTTTTAAAAACATCTAGATGCATATTGGGTTCATCAAATGTGCAATTGCATATAAACAAGTAGACCTACACAAGTAGATACAATAGAACAAAAGGTTGATAAACTTATTTTATATGCCTAATTATTCTATTTTTAAAATTATAACCTTAGAAAATAATAATAATAACAACATTAATAATAATAACAATATGTTATATCAAAACTCTTATAATAGTTATTTGCCTAAAGATACTTTAAAATACTTCAATGTCAGGTTTGTTGACATATCATATTTTAATGAAACCAACCCTAATACTTAAATAACAAATGCTGTTTATCATTTTTTTAAATCTTAAATAGTAAATTTATACAATTCAGTGTATGTTTACTGCAGTATGCCAGTAAACAAACTTTTTTTTTTTATTATAGAGTATAATTTTATTTATTGTAGAAATAAAATTAATAGGAAATCAATTTTAAATTAATTAAACGCCGATTAATTTTTATGTTTATTTTAAACGTTAAAACACTTTATTTTAGTGTTCCATAGCTGAAAAAATACCTGGCTAACTCATTTAATTGAGCATGAGATCTTAATCTCATGCTCATTTAAATCTCGTAATCTCGGGGTAAAAATTTGCTTAGAGCCTTAACCTCTAAGCAAATTTTTACCCCGAGGTTGTCTTCAGGGTGCATTTACTACGGCTAAAGAGCCGTAGTAAATGCACCATTTTATTTCTACAATAAATAAAATTATACTCTATAATAAAAAGCCAACCTATATTGGAGGATGAAAACACTGATAAAAATAAAATTGTAACAAATATTCTTAACTCTTCTTTTATGTCATATTTAAATAAAAAAATGTTATTATGGAAACCTTTCCAAACCACACAAACTTTAAAATTCACTTTCTTTAACTAACCAGTTATCAAACTCTACTTGAAATACGAAGCGATTACAATTTACATTAAGAAATAAAACTTAAAAAATTTTAGACTAATATTTCAGTTAAAAAAAAAATTATAATCTGAAAAAAAAGTTAATCTGAAGTTTTTTATATTATACAATTATTTGTTGTGAATTTTTTAGCTGTTGTACTGTTAAGCTGAAGATAGCAATAAAGTTTAGAAAATTTGCTCTGGCTGAATTTTTTAATAGAAAAACAACATGTGTGCTATGAATGTAACCTGTTTTTCATGGCTGATCAATAAAAGTTTGATGTATTGGCCAAATCACTTGCAAGCATCCTACTTTTGGCTGCCATACGTGAAGCCACGCTTCTAAAAGTAACTGGAAATAAAATTGCTGATAATAAAATTTTTTTATTATTTTAGTATTTGCTTATATACAATATTGTTTTTGTTTGTTTAATTATAAGTTACACACGTGCAAGATGCTAATGATCTAGACAGCTATATTTGACTCAAATACTGTTCATTGTTTAGTATGGTTTCATATTTTCTTTATATTTTTTTTGACAGTTAAGAAACTGCTTTAGAATGGAAATGTTAGAGTTTACATCAAGTGTTGAAACAGCTGTTGATAGTGATAAAGAAAAATTATCTATGCCTCCAGCTTAAAAAGTTGCAGGTTACAAAAAAAGTGACACTGATGAGATTGTACATCAGTTTCTCAAAGATAAAAGAAATCTTTAGTTTTTTAGGGTTAAGTGTTTCCATCAGAGTTTTGCTTGACCATCTCTTTCAATTTATTGAGCTAATTGATTTTTTTTTGTTGAGTTATTTGTTAGTTAAAGAGGAAAAAATCATCACAAAAATCATCTTAACCTGGAAGAAAAATTATGGAACAAAGGCACATTATGAATCAGTGAGTATGTATCAGTAAATTAATATTAGTTAATAGTTTTGGAAACAGTTCCATGTACTATTAAAGTTTCTATTTTAAAAAAAATATAATACATTCATATGAAACAAATAAATGATACAATATGATACATGATTGATTATAATTATGATGTATATAAGAACGTTTTATATAAATGTCTATTATACTTTATTGTGATTTTTATCTTTTATACCCAGTTAGCAATTTATTTTGTGAAGCAATGAGTACTAATCTTAGACATGTCATCTTTACGTGGTTTGATTGGTTGTATTCACCACAGCTTTTTACTGTGGCGAATGCAACCAATCTTGGAGAATTTTATACAACTCTGTTATTATGGTCAAGGGTAGGAGAAGCTCCTAGTGTTACATTATAAAAGTTTTATATAAAAAAAAATCAGTCCTGATTTCCAAAAAAGTTTGACCTAATCTATTTATAACTAATTGCTTTTACTCTTCCATAATGTCATATTTTAATAAGAATCACATTATGGAAAACCGTCTAATACAGACACATAAGAGGTACCATTAAACTTTTAGTACAACCAATTATATTACATTTGTTTTTTTTGTTTTAGATGAACTTTCTTACTTCGGTTGGAGGAGATGAGAAACAACTTACAGCGGCAATCTTTATACTGATAATGGCCAAAGAAGTATCCCAACGGGCATTTGTTGGTTTAAAATTGGTTTAGATCACGTTTAGATGGCATTTACGTCGACCTAAACGTTTAGGAATCTATTCTAAACGTGTTCTGAATATTTAATTTACGTTGAAAAGCTAAATCAAACTATTTCCATACGGAACTAACTTAATTAAATTAGTTTCGCACTGAATGTGTCGGACATTTTAAATCTTTCATTATGATTAAAAATTAGAATTTCTTATGAATCTTAAATTATGTAATAAATGGTTTATAAAAGATAAAAGAAATT